TATTATTATTAATATTATTAATATTATTATTATTATTATTATTATTAAATTGATTTGCTGGCTATCTCACTGTTTGAGGTAAGATGGCTTTTATTTATTTAAAAATGTATTTATCTAAAGAATGTATACAGCCATCCATTTCAGATGTTGCATCTGTGGGTGGTAAACAGTGAATTAAAAAACCAAAACCAACACCAACACTTTCAAATAATTATTTCAAAGAGTACTTTCAATGGTAATCCAAAATATTAATAAGCAACTAGAAAATTGCAACCATATCTTTCTAAATTTTGTCCTGTTCATTTGATTCAAAGTAAACAAGAACATGAAGATTGGAGGACCCAGATTGTTGGGGGCAATATGCTGACTCTCTGTAAACCGCTTAGAGAGGCCTGAAAGGCCTATGAAGCGGTATATAAGTCTACTGCTATTGGAAAGCAATCATTATATCTAACATAAATTCAGAACTGCTGTGTGAAAAAAACATTTTTTCCTCTAACTGTTCATAATCATTGGATAAATCTATCTTTTGTACTAAGAGAAAATTTTTAAAAACCTTGTTTTTTGTTTGTTCACTTATTCACGTGCTTTAAATTTTCCTCAGAATTGTTTGTTGTCTTAAAATGATTTTTCCTTTTTTTGTTTTTAGTACATGTGTTAAATAGAATTATGTGTGGGTTATATTGTACATTTTTATAGTAGAACTGGCAATTATTGTATTTTTCCCTTCTCTTTTAATCTGATTTTTAAAACAGCGGTATATTGCACATTTTTGTTACTTTGTTCATCTGAGATACATGATACTTTATCAACTCAGATTTTCCAATTCAAGTGAAATGGTACATGTGTGGTTGGGATTCTTTGATCTGCTGTGGTTTTGTTTTTATGTTTTGTATAAAATTGTCAGTTCGCAGGTCTACAGGGATTATTTTAGATACTTTCCTTTTGTTTAAATTATTGTCATTAGTAAATTTTATCACTTTGTTGTCTGTGGTAATTTCAAGATAACTGATGAACAAATATGAAAGCATGAGTCCAAATACATACATTTCTATAGTTCCACTGTGTAAACCAACCATTTATTTATATCTCTTTTTTTTGTACTTTATTTTTTTTCATTCATAAATCACTTTGGCTGAGTGAAAGTCTTAAAGAGTGCAGCTTGCCCCCTGAAGTCTGGATATTCAATTATTGGAGATTTTCAAGACATGATTGGACAGCCATTTGTCTGGGATGGTATGAGCAATCCTGTATAGGGTGGAAGGTTGGTCTAGACCAGTGGTTCCCAAAGTGGGCGGTACTGCCCCCTGGGGGGGGTGGGATGATTTAGGGGGGGCGCTACTAGGCAAGGGGGCGGTAAGAGGGTGAGGAAAAAATGATCCACTCAATGCTGGTCGCGGGTGGATTTTCTTTTAGGATATGTGTTTAGTTTTTGAAATATCCCCATTCCCATCCTCTCTCCTTGCGGAATTACTGGTTTTGAATAGTTGGTTCGGCGAGCAGAAGTTTAGCCACTAAAACCACGTAAGCATTTAAAGGCAGAATGTCTGTGTCATGCAAAATAATTGGCAATCTGAAGGAGATAAGATTATATTGTATGCCTTTGTATGTGTGGATATGCGCACACATAAATTTTGCAGCAGGGTTAACAAATGACCAGGGCACCTCTTGGTTAGCATAGCCAATAAGAAACTTGGCCAATAACATTAAGGCAAGTATGAACAATTATCTGTCCATGGTTGCTTAAACAAATGACACCAAGGACTGAACAAGTTTGAGAACCACTGGTCTAGACCAAAGTTCTTTCCAACCCTATAGTTCTATGGAAAATTCACTTCATTTTCCAAAAGACTTCCAACAATATCAAATGAATCACCTTTATTTTTCAGGAAAATAGTTATCTATCTTGGAAATTTTATGTTGACTAAAAATTACTTATCTCTTTTTAGATGAAATGAAAACATTTGCAGGACAGCAGATTGAACCTTTGTTCCAATTTTCCTGGCTTATTGTGTTCCTTTCACTTTCATTGTGTGGTGGCCTTGGATTATTGCTGGCATTCACCGTAGATGAAAAACTCGGAATAGCCGCGGCACTGAGTTTATTGGCACTGCTATATGTATTTTTCAGTAAGTTTTCTTTTAAGGGAAATTAATTTTTTAACTTACAGCATGTTTAAAATTAAGCTGATGCTTTAATTAATGCATAAATGAAGCAAAAGTCAAACCACATTATTAAAAACCATAATATTGTCACTACTGGTAAGATCTGTAATTTTGTGAAAATGCTTTCTAGAAAAGAGTATGTATAGAAATTATACCTGTATCAGCTCCCCCTCCCCCCAATCAAAACAGTCTGTAAAAGACATCGGATGATAGAAAAAAACAGCGGGAAACTACTCTTATATGTTAGATTTCAAGAATGAGTGATATATTAAGATATGGTAACTTAGTATATTTTCAATAATTAGGCTTTAAATATTTCCTAAATTGGAATCAGGACCACTGTGATTTTTTTGGCTCTATCTGTCATGCTAACCATGCACAATACAATATACAGCTGTAGGAAAGGTGGAGAAAATGCTTTCACTGTACCTAAAGCATCAAACAAGGAATAAAATATGGCTCAGTAACACAGGTAGTACTAGAGAATAATATTTGAAACATGAGTGCATTTATTAATGCATTTGAGTTACAAAATTTGACAGCATGCACCAGTTTTTCCCATTGGTTCAATGTTTCACTCTATGTGGATTCACTCTACAGTACATGAGATTTGCATGGAACATAATCTGAGCATAAAGCAAGAGAAGACTGTACAGGTAATCCTCAACTTACAACAGTTCATTTAGTGAGTCAAAAGTTACAACGGCACTGAAAAAAGTGATTTATGACCATTTTTCACACACGACCTTTGTAGCATCCCCACGCTGATGTGATCAGAATTCAGCCGCTTAGCAACTGTTTCATATTTACGACCGTTGCAGTGTCTCAAGGTCATGTGATCATGTTTTGCAACCTTTTGACAAGCAAAATCAATGTGGAGGCCAGATTCATTTAGCAGCTATGTTACTAACCTATCAACTTCAGTGATTCATTTAGCAATTGTAGCAAGAGAAGTCAAAGCTCACTTAAACAAATGTCTCGTTTAACAACAGAAATGTTGGGTTCAGTTGTAATGGTAAGTCGAAGGCTACTTGTACTATGCACAATGATTAAACTCTTGACAGCTATTGATTATTCAGTGCTGTTTTTCGTGCAGTTAATTACATTGTAGATAATGATAGGCATAGACCAAAGTGTACATATCCTTATTGTCTTTGCCAGACTTCTCTTGAGTTAAAAATAAATGACAAACAGGTAGTCCTCCACTTAGAATATCTCTTGTTGATCAAAGCAGTCATTTAAGCAAAATTGCTCATGTGACAGTTTCGCTTAATGCCTGCAAATCTGGCTCTCCCAGTTGTGGTAGTTAAGCAGATTCTCTCTTTCAAAGAGCTGCCTACCAAATGGAATAGCAGTAGACTTATATACCGCTTCATAGGCCTTTCAGGCCTCTCTAAGCGGTTTACAGAGAGTCAGCATATTGCCCCCAACAATCTG